ATACTTATGCCTTTCTTCCTTTCTCTACCTTTCAAAATTTGTATACTCTTTTCTTTGCTTTATTTTTCATAATTATTCGTGTCTTCCTTTTTCTATCTTTATTCCCATTTATTTTGTCCTTCCCTTCACACTCCATTTTCATTCATAATTCTCTCTCTCTCTCTCTCTCTCTCTCTCTCTCTCTCTCTCTCTCTCTCTCTCTCTCTCTCTCTCTCTCTCTCTCCCTTTACCTTCTCGCACTTTTTTCCTTTTCTTTATTATCCCTTTCATACTTCTTTATCTTTATTCCCTTTTCCTTCGTCTGCTTTACGCACTTATTTCTCTATTGTACCTTTCCTTTATTGTATATTTTTGAAAATTATTTATAGAAAGTTTAATTTTTACTTTCTCTTTTAAAATCTTGACTGACGCAAAAAAAAAAAAAAAAAAAAAAATCTAAACTTCCTTTAAAGCTCAAGAACTTTTTTTTCTTTCTTTTTTTTTTTTTTTTGCTTATTCTCTTTTGTTTCCTTTCTTGTTCATTTTCTTTATTTTCTTGACAAATTTGGTCGATTTTTGGGGGGAGATTTAAATCGAGAAGTAAAAATGTTCACACACACGCACACACACACACACACACACACACACACACACACACACACACACACACACACACACACACACACACACACACACACACACACACACCACACACACACACACACACACACACAACACACACAGAATATCACCTTATCATTTTCTTCCCACCTACACATTCATCACCATCCATCACTACTTCATAACGGCTTCGTTCATCACCACAACATCACATTGACGTTTTTTCTCTCTTCCATCTTTATCCATTTTCCTTATCTCTTCGTTTGCCTTTTCCCTAATATTTCGTTTTTTGTTTTTACCTAATCTTTGTGTTTTTTTTTCTTTTCTTTCTTTCTTTCTTTCTTTTATTCTGTTCTTTGTCTTTTATTCCTTCCTTTCTTTAATGTTTATTTCCGTCGTGTTTCATTATCTTTTTTTTCATTTCCGTTTGGCAGTGTAAAAAAAAAAGAGAATGAGAAATAAAACGTAAAAAAATGCGATGATAGCGTGTGTGTGTGTGTGTGTGTGTGTGTGCGGCGTGCGTAAGTGTGCGCGTGTGCGTGCGTGCGTTGCGTGTGCGTGCGTGCGTGTGCGCGTGTGTGTGTGTACGTGCTTGCGTGTGTGTGTGCGTGCGTGCGTGTTGTGTGTGCGTATGTGTGTTTGTGTGTGTGTGCGTGCGTGCTTGCGTGTGCGTTCGTGCTTGCGTGTGTGTGCGTGCTTGCGTGTGTTGTGTGAGTGCGCGTGTGTGTGCGTGCGTGTGTGTGTGTGTGTTGATGTGTGTGAGTGTGTGTGTGTACGTGTGTGTGTGTGTGTGTGCGTGCATGTGTTGTGTGTGTGTGTGTATGCGTGTGTGTGTGTGTTGCGTGTGTGGTGTGCGTGTGTGTGTGTGTGTGCGTGCGTGTGTGCGTGCGTGCGTGTGTGCGTGTGTGTGTGTGTGTGTGTGTGTGTGTGTGTGTGTGTGTGTGTGTGTGTGTGTGTGTGTGTTGTGTGTGTACGTGCGTGCGTGTGTGTGAAGTGCGTGCGTGTGTAAGTGCGTGCGTGCGTACGTGCGTGCGTGTGTGTGTCTGTATGTGCGTGCGTGTGTACGTCCATGCGTGCGTTCGTGTGCGTGTTGTGTGTTTGTTTAGAGAAGGGGGGGAACAGCAACACTTACAAAAAGAAAAGTCAATATTTATTTGCTAATTATTAAAGTGTACACTATTGCCTCTTTGATCAATTAAAAGTTTGCACAATTACTAATAGAAACATGGGAGGGGCTTATATGAGAGGGGAGGGGGAGGGGGGGAGGGGAGAAAAAGGAAATCGGAGAATGGAGAGAGAGGCAGGGAGAGAGAGAGAGAGAGAGAGAGAGAGAGAGAGAGAGAGAGAGAGAGAGAGAGAGAGAGAGAGAGAGAGAGAGAGAGAGAGAGAGAGAGAGAGAGAGAGAGAGAGAGAGAGAGAGAGAGAGAGAGAGAGGAAGAGAGAGAGAGAGAGAGGACAGACAGACAGACAAAGTGAGTGAGAGAGGAAGAGAGAGAGAGAGAGAGAGAGAGAGAGAGAGAGAGAGAGAGAGAGAGAGAGAGAGAGAGAGACAGACAGACAGACAAAGTGAGTGAGAGAGCGAGCGAGAGAGAGAGAGAGAGAGAGAGAGAGAGAGAGAGAGAGAGAGAGAGAGAGAGAGAGAGAGAGAGAGAGACAGAGAAGAGACAGAAGACAGACAGACAGACAGACAGACAAAGTGAGTGAGAGAGCGAGAGCGAGAGCGAGAGAGAGAGAGAGAGAGAGAGAGAGAGAGAGAGAGAGGAGAGAGAGAGAGAGAGAGAGGAAGGGATGGCGGGAAAGGGAGAGAGAAGGAGTGGAGAAGAGAGAGAGAGAGAGAGAGAGAGAGAGAGAGAAGGAAGGAGCGGAGAGAGAGAGAGAGAGGGATAGAAGGGAAGGAGAGGAGAGAGAGAGAGAGAGACAGAAGACAGACAGACAGACAGACAGACAGACAAGTGAGTGAGAGAGCGAGAGCGAGAGAGAGAGAGAGAGAGAGAAGAGAGAGAAGAGAGAAGGTAAGGGAGAGAGAGAAGGAGTGAGAAGAGAGAGAGAGAGAGAGAGAGAGAGAGAGGGTGGGAAGAAGGAGCGGAGAGAGAGAGAGAGAGAGAGATAGGAAGGGAAGGAGAGAGAGAGAGAAGGGAGGCGGGAAAGGGAGAGAGAGAAGGAGGAGAAGAAGAGAGAGGGGGGGGGGGGAGAAGGAGCGGAGAGAGAGAGGAGAGAGAGAGAGAGAGAGAGAGAGAGAGAGAGAGAGAGAGAGAGAGAGAGAGAGACCAGACGGACAGAGAGAAAGGAGAAGGAAGAGCGAGAGAAAGTGGGAGGAGCTTATTCCTCTGTGGGTTGACAGGGACCATGTATATAAAGGTAAATACCGTCGGATTTAAAATGACATAATGTGTGTAATGGATGTAATAGGATTTATGATTCAGAGTCGCTTATGATTCGGGCAATTTATATTTGTCGTAATGTACAATATCCATTTTGTATAAAACGTTTGTACAAAAAACATTTTTTCTCTTTTTTACACAAAGACACATATGAATTTTATATCGTTTTTCTAAGGTGGTATTTTAGCGCAAAATATAAAAGTTGATGATTTCTTAACTCATATATTTCAACTATAAACATTATCATAAACTTATCTAGAATCGATTGATTGA